TTCTGGCAACTGCCACTGCACCCAGCTCACAGCCATGCCTTTTAAAGATATCAGAAAAACACCCATGGAACCAGAGGTTTCATGAATTAGAATTATTCACACTAGTTGCAATGCAAAATCCCTGGAAAAAGTGTATGCTGACTTGATTAGAGGTGCAAAAAAAAAGAATCTCCAAGTGAAAGGATCAGACCGGATGTTTACCAGGACTTTGAGAACACAAGAGAAACTCCCTGTGATGAACCTTGAAAACAGACCGTGTGAAACGAAGACAGAAGCAACAGGCCACCTACTGTTGAAATGTACAGAACAAGAAAATCCATATGAAATGTACAGAACAGGAAAATCCATAGGGACAGAATGCAGATTAGTAGTTGCCCAGGCCTGGGGGAAGAGAGAAATGTGGAGCGATGGCTACCTTTTAGGGGTGATGAAAATGTTCTGTAACTAGAGAATGACAAAATGGTGGTTGTTGCACAACCTCGTGAATATCCTACCACTACTGAATTGCACACCTTGTGACGCGGCATCTTATGGTATGTAGGTGACATCTCGATTTACCAGAAAGGACCATGGCAATCTGTAGAGCACCAGGGGGTGAGGCCCTATTCCACTTCATATCCCCAGCCCTTAGTTCAGTGCCTGGCATACATGGGGCATGGCACGTACGGACATTTTTGAATGAACTCATTAATTTTTTTCCACTGTGATTCCATGGTTTGGGTTTTTTTTTCTTTCTGGTGTTGCCTACATAATTATAGTGACACATGGATTCTTAAGAGGGACTCTTGGTGTCGTAAAACCCTTGTAAAGGTGGAGAGTGTAACACACTTGCCGCTGTCTCATCAGGTGAGGGACCTAACGAGCTCACTCTCTGGTGCCAGGGCAAATGAAACCGAGACCATCAGTGTCCTGCTCCGGAGTCCGGCACCAGCAAGTGAATGAGGGGAAGGAGGAGGCTGCTGTAGATAGGCCTCTGCAACCATTGCTCTCTTGGCTTTGGCACACCCTAGCCCTCTCTCCAGCTCACAGGGAGCTTGTGAAACCAGGCTTCTGAAGCACAAGACAGGCGGACCATGCTTTCTAAAGTCAAGTTCAGAGGAGAATCTTCACCTTGAGGTTAGTGGCCATTTATACCCACTCTGATTTGCTGTCATCACAGAGAAATCATGGAATTTGTGAGCTGAAAGAGACCAAAACCCACACTTCTTGTTGAAGGGCAGTCAGGAAAGAAGTCTGTGGAATTAAGCTAGAGCCTTCCATTTTCTTTGTGAATGGTTCTGCACTGTAGCCTAACATGAACACCATTTTCCCACACTGTGAGGGTTCTCATTGCCCATAGATCAGTCCTAACTTCATAGGTATGCACTGTTTGAAAAATAATGTTCTGGGCGATTGGGGAGAGAAGTGCCCAGTGCAGGGTTTTAGGAATTCTTTCTGCTTTACCATTTAAAAGCAACAGACACCAAGAAGGCACCCAGCACCCTTTGCTCCCAGGAGGACTCTGCGATAAGCTTCCTTCTTTGCGGCTAGAAGCTACAGACTTCCTTCTTTGCAGACACTTAAGTTGTTGGAAACCCTGCATGTGAGCTGGAATCGAAGTTCAATTTAAAAAGCGGAATTTCAGCCGGGCTCGGTGGCTCAGCCTGTAATCCCGCGCCTTTGGGAGGCTGAGGTGAGTGGGCTGCCTGAGCCCGCGGGTTCGAGACCCGCCTAGGCAGGCGAGACTTCATCTCTACAATAAATAAAAAAATTAGCTGGGCGTGGTAGTGTGTGCCTGTAATTCCGTCTACTCGGAAGGCTGAGGCGGAAGGATCACCAGAGCCCAGGAGGTTGAGGCTGCAGTGGCCGGGAGCGGCCACTGCCCTCCAGTCTGGGTGACAGAGTGAGACTCCAACTCAAAAAAAAATAATAATAATAATAAAAATAAAAAGCGGAATTTCAAGGATCATCCATGCCAGAGCACCATCATGGGCCTCCCTGACAGTGCTGACATGAGGGTTACTTGCTTGGTGCTTTTTCTTGCCCAGGCCAAAGACTGGTACCAGGGAAAGCAGAACACATCATACATGCACTGCACAAGCCCCATGGCCTCTTTGTGTCTCAATTTCCTCATTTGAAAAAAACGAATGAATCTCAAGACATGCTTTTCAGAGTTCATAATGGGCTTCTACCCTGCTAACTAATAACTAATGACATTTTTACACAACAGTTGTTTACATGTGTTCGTCTTCTATTTCACTTACAGTTTTTGCAAAAACTGCATGTTGTGCCATGCTTGGAATGTCCCAAAGCTCAGTTTGGTAAGGAAATTGCAACCAAGATTTCTACAAAAAAGGAAACAAGCAAAGAAGGGAAAAGGTGTTATTTCAGAGCATTCATCATTTGGCAGGGATCCTAATTTATATATGATGAAACATGACCTCAGGACTTTCCCCACACATCAAGGAAATCTCACCAGAAGGACTGGCTTCTGACTCATACTTTCATATTTACACGTGGGGTGCATGAGCTACACAACAGTGAATGCTCAGAAGCATCTGTGTTCATCATTGTTATTTCTCTGGAGCAGGGTTTCACAGCTTCAGTGTTACTGGTCTTTTGGGCTGCGCAGTTCTCTGTTGTGGGGTTTGTCCTGGACTCTGCAGGGTATTCAGCAACATCCCTGGCCTCTGCACCTCAGAAGCCAGGAGCACATCCACAGCGGTGACAACCAGAACTGTCTCCAGACGTTGCCAGATGTCACCTGAGTGCAAAACCACACTTGCTGGGAACCACTGTATACAATGATTCTCTGTGACCTGTGATCTCATTAATTTTTGCTAGAGACCAAAAGGACTTGTTATATAATTCCAGTAACTTTCTACTAGTAACACTATTCGTATTTCAAAGTGAATAGCAAAAAGGTTTACAAATACATTTTATAAAAGTTCCAAATAATGAAGTCATGTCTGCAACTTACACGACCTGCAGGAATGGTAGTGCTTCAAATGTCCCTCTTTCGATAAATTGTATCTTGTTGCATGATAAATCTCTAGGAAAAGGACAAAGAAAGTATTACCTTGATTCACTATTGGAAACCAAAATTAGGAGGAATAAACAGGAGAGTTTGGGATGATAAAATGTAACACACAGTCTGTCTAAACTCTAAGCATTTGAACTTGTGCTGAGCTTCCTGGAGCCCTGACCTGCCTGCACCTCTCCTGGAGTCTCACCTTCATGCTTTTCATAAATAAAATATTTCCCTCTACACACATCTTGAGAGATTCCCGACATGAGGAGACTTGATTGGATGACCTTTTGTAGTCTCATGAAATTCTAGATTATGATCCCAAGGTTTTTATCTCTATATATAATTTCTAATATTAAAAGGCATATTCTCACAATAATATACTTTTCTGGTTTAGTTCTGTTTCTCTAAGTCAGTTTACGTCATTTGAAAGGAAGTTACCCCACTAATACCTAACTTGGAAATAATTCAAATTATATTAATGTAATTAATTCCTATCATATTAACAGAAGCTCATTGTTGGTTTTATCTTGCCCTAATATCCCATGAAAGCAAGTTCTTCAGCTGTCCAGTGGTGGGACAACCAGAAAACAACATGGATCTAGACTGTGATGTGGAAACCCCCATTTGTGACTAGAGTAGCCGCTGTTTGTAGTGACTCCAGCTTGCCCCATCTTCACCGGATGGCATAACTGTTGTCTGACTGTGTCTCCATCTCAGTCTCCCTCTTCAATTCATCCTGCACACAGGCACCAGAACTCTCCAGAACTGGTTTTCAAAACCAGCATCACCTGGGTATTTGCTGAAGATGCAAATTCTTGGCACTGCCCCAGCCTGAATGAAGCAGTAACTGGGGTGGAGTAGACAACCGAGTTCTAACAAGTCCTCCAGGTGACTGGGATGCAGGCTCAGCCAGGCTTGGTGGCTCAGCCTGTAATCCCGTGCTTTGGGAGGCTGAGGTGAGTGGATTGCCTGAGCCTATGGGTTCGAGACCTGCCTCGGCAACTTGGCGAGACCTCATCTCTACAGTAAATTAAAAAACCAACCGGGCGTGGTAGCACGTGCCTGTAACTCCGGCTACTCGGAAGTCTGAGGCGGAAGGATCGCCGGAGCCCAGCAGGTCGAGGCTGCGGTGGCCGGGAGTGGCCACTGCACTCCAGTCTGGGTGACAGAGAGAGACTCCAACTCAAAAAAAAAACAAAAAAAAGATGCAGGCTCAAGTCTGTGTTAAAGGAGTGCTGGGATAACATGTGTCCCAGGACAGCTCATTTACCCTGGAAGATCTGGCTCTAGACTCCTGTTCCTCCTCCTTGGACTCTACAGGGATTCATGGCATTCCTCAAATTCCTTCTCCCCTTCTTCCATTTTCCTTTTGCAGGTTTAGAATATTCTCCCCAAGAGGGTTGTCTGATGCTACCCAGTGGCCCTTCAAGGCCTTGGTAAAAAGGCACTGCTTCTCATATGAAGCAGCGATCTTCATAGCAGCGTGATAATAACACCTTCCCTGATCCAAACGGAAGTCTGTGCCCTCTTCTCGGCTCCAGAAGCAGCGTATCCCCCTTGGGGCCTAGGTCTAGTTCTTGTTTTAATGTGATTATTTTGCCATCGCGTTCCTTCTCAGCATAGACTCCTTGAGAGCATGGACTGGGTCTTGCTCGCCTGCCCTGCCCTCCATGTTTAAGACAGAAATAAACTCAAATATTTAGACAATAGGAAGCTGGAAGTGAGTAAAAGGAAAAAGACTGCTTTAAAAGCAATGAGTGTGTTAGTCCATGGCCCCTTTTCTGCCTCTCTGCCACACTCTGCGACCTACTCAGTGCTACGGGCTGCTATGGGTTTAGCGTCTGTGTTTGTTCCTGGTGAAGGGGAGGAACCTTGTTTTTCTCCTCTCTGAGTTCCCCAGGTTAGGTACAGTGCTTGGCATATCCCTTTTGAGCTTTTTAAATTGATTGGCATTTCTCTTTAATAAATGAGACTACGTGTGTTAACATGAAATGATTCGCTTACAAAGTATTTCATCGCAGAAGCAATGACAGGCCTACTCCACTGAGCAGTCATCTCGTTGGCTTTTCCCCAAACATGGCAGAGGCACCCAAGTCCAAAGGGACCAACCCCTAAGGCCTCAAAGATGTGAAAAATCAGACTGCCCAAGTCCCACTCCCTTAAGCCTTCTACATCTGAAATATCGATTTGCTCAAAGGCACCATTCATTAGTTTAATGAGGATTAATGACTTACACACCTCTGGACCCCACAGACAAGGGATACAGATCAAGTTTTCATAGCTAAAAACATAGTATCATCCTAACTCTAAACACGCAGAAATACTAGGTAGGTGTCCCCTCCTTGGTGACAAGGCTGGAGAGTCTAATTTTGTGATTAGTTGAGGCATTTTGTGAAGAGTTGGGCATTTCTGATTTCCTTACTTAGTGCGAACGCTTTCAGTTCTATCACTTCACTATCATTTTAAACACCGATTTTTTTCCTTTTTTTTTTTTTTTGAGTCGGAGTCTCACTCTGTCGCCCAGGCTGAAGGGCAGTGGCACGCTTATGGCTACTGCAGCCTCCACCTGCTGGGCTCAGACAATCTTCCCACCTCAGCCTTCCAAGTAGCTGGGACTACAGGCACCTCCCACCATGCCCAGCTAATTTTTTGGTTTATTGTAAAGAAAGACCTTGCAAGTTGCCCAGGCTGGTCTTGAACTCTTGGGCTCAGACAGTCTTCTCGCCTCTGCCTTCCAAAGTGCTGGGATGACAGGCATGAACCACCGCGCCTGACCTTAAACATCTATTTTTAATATAAAAATTCCTGCCATGACATCCTAATACCAGTCATTCTCTTGGTAACTTAATATTCTTCATAATATTGTTTATATAATTCATCTGCTTAATTACTTAATATTAAATGTCAATTATTTCTGATTAAATTATCAAACATTCTGGATTAATACAGTAAAATTAATTGAGGTGGTCTATATTTTCTTCTCCATTAGGCAACAATCTGAAGTTAACTTTACTTCCTCTCACTCAAATCCTTTTGGTGAAGGCCAGACAACAAATGCTTCAGGCTTTGTGGGTCACTTATGGTCTCTGTGGCATGTTCTTACTTTCTTTTACAGTCCTTTAAAACCATCCTTTTTTTATTTTTAATTTTTATTATTATTTTTTGGGTTGGAGTCTCACTCCATCGCCCAGGCCAGAGTGCAGTAGCACTCTCATGGCCACACCAGCGTCGACCTGCTGGGCTTCAGCGATACGTCCGCCTCAACCTCCCAAGTAGCTGGATCTACAAGCTCGCACGACCACGCCTGGCTAATTTTTGATTTATTGTGGAGATGAGGTCTCTCCAAGTTGCCCAGGCTTGTCTTGAACCTACGGGTTTCAGGCAATTCTCTTGCCTCGGCCTCCTTAAGTGCTGGGATTACAGGCTGAGCCACCAAGCCTGGCCTGAAAACCATTCTTAACGTGTGAGCTGTATAAGAACAGACTGCAGCTTGATCTGATCTACGGGCTGGAGACTAAATACACACAGAAGGAGACGGTGCATGAAAACACACGAAACAAGGTTCGCGTGGGGGTCAATCATTACTCAGATCTCATCACCTGTGAAGCGTGTTCCTGACTGTATCTCATCTGTACAATTTTAGAAACTGAAAATTCATCGGATGTATTTAAGGCTCGAGATGGCTGGGACCTTGCACAGACTTACAGAATTGCAGAGTTTTATTGCTGGAAGAAAACTCGGAGTCCATCTGATTTGAACCCCTTATTCATTTTATAGATAATAGAATTGAAAACTCATTAATAAATATGGTTCACTAACTTACAAATATCGTAGAGACAGCAGGCCTTCAAAAGTATCTTTCCGTAACTCAGTTATGGAGTTTTCACTGAGGATTCTGGAAAATGAAAAGGTTATTTCTGGGTGATTATGAAGCAAATTGCAGCTGTTTGCCACACAGGACCAGCTCCTGTATGTGGAGGAAGCCTAGGAGTGATGCTGCTGAACACACGAATTCTGGTTGAATGCGGGGTGGTGATGTCTGCTGTTTTCATTTAGGCCCTCCTCACATTCTCCTCTTGTGCCCATGCCTCTCTGCCACAGACACACCCCCCTCCCGCTCCTCCCACCAGCTTGTACACTTAATGCCTACTCTGGACCCCAAAGTCCCTGTTAGAGCCCAACTGCGAGTGGCATCATGACCAGCAGAATTGCCACCTCCTCTTTGTCGAGCCCCATTAAGAAAGCCCCACGAGGAATTATGTCAGGGCTGCACGTGAAGCCTTTCATTTTCCCTCATTAAAAAATTTTGGAGCCGGGCTCGGTGGCTCAGCCTGTAATCCCGTGCCTTTGGGAGGCTGAGGTGAGCGAATTGCCTGAGCCCGTGGGTTCGAGACCCGCCTGGGCAGCAAGACCTCATCTCTACAATAAATCAAAAAATCAGCCAGGCGTGGTAGCGCATGCCTGTAATTCCGGCTACTCGGAAGGCTGAGGTGGAAGGATCGCCGGAGCCCAGCAGGTCGAGGCTGCGGTGGTCGGGAGCGGCCACTGCACTCCAGTCTGGGCGACAGAGTGAGACTCCAACTCAAAAAAAAAAAAAAAAAAAA